TATCAAATAAAGATTTTAAAATAAATTATTTTTCATCAAATTCAAAGGATATTTTTTGGAGAAATAATAACATTCAAAAATATAATTTAAAAAGGGGCAATGAGTTTAAGTTTCGATTAAAAAATGATGATTAAATATTCAATTTAATCATCACAACTATATTGTGTCACTTTACATTTCATTGCGTAATATGTAATTAAAATATATTTATTTGATAGCTCTGTAGTGTAACACCAAATCATTTGAACTTTTCCAAATGAAATGACGAACAGTTCTTAAATCCATATTAGGATCCAGTACCTACAAGAAAATAAAAACTACATATAGAAATTACTATTTTAGTATAAATATATATTTCCATCTATAGAGAAAACAAAAAATATGCAATTGAAAACAATACAGTAAAAGCTCAAAGCTATTAGCCATAATTTTTTAGATAATTGAGCATCAAAGAATCTTTTGCTCTATTAAATTTAATTTTTATAATTGACTAATAAATTAAAATCATTATTTTTTTATATTTTAAAGAAATTGATTATTGAGCAATTCAAACATTTCTATAAAAATTGTGAATTTTTTAAAAATGATTTAATTTAAAGCATGTTTTAAAAATTTAGGATATCAAAATTTTCATTTGTATAAAATTCAAATTTTTTTTTAGAGCTTTTTGAGAAACACTACACTGTAAAACATACAGGAATAGGATACAGGAGATGTGAAGGGAGAATATTTTTGGAGGAAAAGAATTTTCTCCTGAGAAAATAAATATAACATTTCAAAAAAAAAAAAAAAAAAAAAAAAAAAAAAAAAAAAAAAAAAAAAAAAAANATAAATTACACGATGATATATGATATTATATGAAATGTAGTTCATTTATCATTTTCAAATGGAAAACAATTTCAAATTAGGTATATTCACTATTATACATCACAATAACAAAATAACGGCAGAAGTATCTACTTTTACTTGTAATATCGAATTTTTTCATAGAAATATTTTTTTCAAAGAACATTGCTGCTTTTTTACTGAAACATTTTTAAAAATTGTCTAAAAAAAGTTTTTTTGAAATTTATAAATTGGATGTATAACCTATTAATTTAACAGCTTACTTCTGTTACTAATTGTACTTCCTGTAGCTAACTATTTGTATAGTATTTCCAGAAAAACAATTCCCTCACCCTTTAAATTTTTGAAGGCTAAATTTCTCTGACATTTGTATACTGTCAACCGTGATATTCTGCTCTGTCTTAATTTCTGTGTATGTGCGTGAAATTTTGGCTGCTACTTTATCAAAATATTCCCTTCAGACCACTTATTACTGTACTTTATGTATTGTCTACTATGATATTCTGTCTAGTAAGAATTTCAGTGTATGTGCCAGCGATTTTGGCTGTAACTATCTCAAAACATTCCATGCAAGCCACAGTTTATCCGGTCCTTCTGGAATATTGATATTGAATGAAAAATGAATTTTTTGGAGGCAAACATTTTTATTAGAAAATAGATTTGCTAATTTTATGTAACAAATTAAATGTATCTTTGAAATGATTTATAGTCTTTGATGTATTGTAATTTTTACTATGCGTCTTAAGAATATTACAATTTCCTCATAAAAAAGGGTCTATCCTTTTTCATACACTGTAATCTTAACCAATGGGCATATGATTACTTTTTATGTTAATATGGTTTGAGATGAGATAATGTTGGTACCCAAAATTTAATTTTTTTACAATATGAAAAATTAAATATGAATTTTACAATATGAAATCTTAAACAAAACATAGACTACATATTAATTGACGAATTATAATAATGAATGGAATTAAGTTATAATTACCCACATTTTATAAAAAGATTAAATTGTTCTTTTTCTCTCATTGTTACTAAAATAATAATTATAAAAGACAATTAATTTACTTTTAGCACCATGCTGTAAAAAATTGTGTTTGAATTTCTTATTTTTATAATTTGGATTTTTTTTTTTTACTTGAGCACACAGAAAATTAATTTAAATAATTCAATTAACATTTTTAAACCAAAAGTTTCTGGCATTTCCAGCACTTAATTTTAAAAAATAAAACATTGTAAAAAAACCATGCTTTATATAAATGAAATTAAGTATGTATTAATAAAACTCTAGAATTTTTGTTATTAATCATAAATTTGAGAAATACAAAAATTAACTTTTGAACTACAATTATTTTGTAAAATAGATGAGAATGTGAAATTAATATTTTTTTCTTCAATTTAATCAATAAAATTTTGTTTTTACTTATTTTGATAAAAGTTAAGGCTATTATGAATTTTCAATTTCCTCTAAGTGTACTTGAAAATAGTTACTTTTTTCCTTAGTCCTAGTACATGTACTTTTTACTACTTTTTGTACTTTTCACCTTTCAAAATCAGAACTCTTTATTCTTACCTAGTAAATGTTTTGAGAACAATTTCCAAATTTTTTTTCTTTATTTTAATTACTATACAGCTATTTTATCTTGAATAACAAATCTTAAATGAAATATATTATTACTTTTTAAATAACATGATCAAATTTATTAATTGTTTGCAATTATACTTATTCTCAACGTATTTTTGAATTTTTAGGATAATTAATTCAGAGGCAAAAGGCTATTAATCATATAAATATGGGCTAGGAGAATATTCTCAACATTCTCTTTGGATTCTCAAGAATATTCTCTAAAAGATTATTTTACAAAATAAGGATAAAAAGTAGATTACAAACATTACACTACTGTTGCTCAATCCATGAGTTGAAAAACTCTTATTTTGTAAAGTAGTAGTGGTTTTTGGGAATTACACAAAAGCAACCACCAAGCAGGAAGTAGATTTCAGTTAAACACTACTGCTGAAGCAACACTATCTTCCTTTAATAATTTTAAAATAAATAGACCAGAATAAATTCATATTTTAAACTCACTTTTTTTTTAAAAAAAAGTTAATTATTTCAAATTATATTTTTTCGGGAAATTATATTATTAACAATATTTTTATTAATTATACAGAAATGAATTTTTATGAAGCAATTTTCAATAAAATTATTGTATTTTTGCAGTACATAAGAAAGTCACTAAAGGCATTAGTGTAGAAGTATGAAAAATGAGCATAGAGTTAAGATTGTGAGGCAATCTAAAAAGAACTGTGCAAGCAGTTCCGGCGACAGAAGAGAAATAGCGAGCAGGGGGCAAAGCCTTTTATAATCCTAACAACAAAAGCATTAAAAAAATATAGAACTTTTCATAAAAACCTAGGACAATCTTATAAGTGGTTGGTTGCAAATCAAGTTACCAGAATTAAACAAAAGATACGCAATTTTATGTAATTATTGTAACGAGCTCTACTTAACTTATGAACAAAGAAAAACTTTTTTAATTACTTATATTTTGAACAATATGCCATGTGACATCTGGAACATCATAATTCTTTATTGCGTTTTAGCAATACCTAGTAAGTAAACTCCCAGTTTGAGAATCGAAGTTCAGTTCATCTATCGCTATCAATGAAGATGTTTGCGTTTGAACATACTTCGTAATTAATTATTACCATTACAGCTAACAGATAACATTACACAATATATTAGTTTAAAAGAAAATAAAGTGTTTTTTCTGCATTTATATCACTGAAAAGAAAAAGTAGGCAATTCAATATTTTAAATTTTGAGCATAAACAAAGTAATTAGTACCAAAAAAAAAAAAAAAAAAAAAAAAAAAAAAAAAAAAAAAAAAAAAAAAGAAAGAGAGAAAGAAAAAAAAATTAAATTTATTTAGAGTCAAAAATTTCATTTATATTTATTTTGAATATTCTTTATTAACAACTAAATAAAGATATATTGATAATAGAATACGGTTTTATCAAAATAAGTAACGTTTGGACATAGAAACTCAGTTATTTTAACCTACGCTTTCACGGAAAAAGAAGTAGCCAATTCCAACTCTTCAGGTCAGAACACAAACTTATTGGTACAAAAACTCTCATTCAAAAATAATTATTAATTTTAAGTCACACATATTTCTATTCATATTATCTCATCTTTTTTTGTCAAATAGTAATTTTAAACCTAGGCTTTTACAGAAAAACAGTAGTCAGTTCTAACTTTTATGTTTGAAATACAAAAGTTTCCGTTAAAAAAAATTATTTTAAGCCTTGTATTTTATTTAGATAGTCTTATTTCATTTATTTCTGTTTTTAAACTAAAATAACAAAAATTGAAAATAAAATATGGTTACACGAAAACACATGAACATAGAAACAAAGTGATGGTGTTTGTCAATAATTTTAAGCATTTTTTGACTGAAAAGAAGCAGCCAATTTAATCTCTAATTTTGAGCACAAGCAACAAAAACTGTTGGTACAAAAATAATAATAATAATAAATAGACTAAAAACCATTAGCATCAGTATGCTATTGAAAATAAGTATTTTCAACATATTAGTGTGCAAGTTAATCAGTGATTGAAAATTATCAGAACCTAACAATTAAAGGGAAATTAGTTTTTATGAGGATTCCTATTTAAAAATTGACAATTGCTGTATGGTGTAGCAAGGAAGTTCGAAAATGTGTTTATTTTATATTCTGGTTTTTAACAAGTGTTATGCCCCACATGCATTACATAGATTAAAATGTATTGTATTCAACTGTGACATCAGATTTAAATCTCTTGCCTAACTACATGTGGGAGTCCCTCAGTGTATATAAGTAAAATTGTGTAGTCATTACAGAGTATCAGAGTTGTTTGGTTGAATGATGATGTACAACAGCTATATAGTGTAAAACACAAGCATCATTTTTTACTCAATGCAAAGAAATAGTGTAGGGAAAAATAGAAGGTGAAAAGAAAACCACAGAGCTTCAGGGTCATAGGACTTGTATAAGAAGGTAAATCCGTTGAGGATAAAAATTGTCATGGAATTACAATTATTTGAAAAATAGAGAGTTAGATATGGTATCTTCCGCTATACAATATTTTAGAAATAAAATACACAAACCTGATCTTGGCACAATAATTCCACTTTTTCCTCAGCAATAGAAGTTCGCTCATCATCTTTTTCTGACTCACATTTATCTTGGCCTCCAGAACCACCAGACTGGCTAGCTGTTTGAGAACCAGCATCTGAACCAGCTCCCATGACCTTTTCATACACATGTTCAACAACTTTACGAACTTGAAGCATATCACTAGCAGATAACCGCTCTCTAGAATTAAAAAGTTAAAATTAATAAAAAAAGAACAAAACAAATTAATAATAGCCACCTGACATAAATTGACCCAAGGATAAAATAATGTAATTTCAAAATTAATGTTCCTCTGGAAAAAATTCTTTGATGGAAAATTTTTAAATACAGTTTAAGTTATAAACACTTTTCTAACACATGCTTACAGCTTACGAACTTAACAGAAAAACAATTTCCATTAAGTTCTCAAGCAATTTAAGATTTTGATAATTTCTTTATTGCCCTTAAAAACATGTTGATAAAATACAACATAAATTTCTCATTGTGCTTTTTTACACGTTATATTTCATGTATAATTGCTTTTCTTTTAAAAAATTAACAACTTATTTCTTAAACTACCAATTCTTTGATTCCCTTGTATCTAAATTAGCCCTATTTGAAATTTGACACTTTCCTTCCTCTTTTTTGGATACTATGAAATGTCTTCTCCTCTAAGCAATAGGAAGTGTCAACAATATAACAGAAAAGAGTAGTGATATGTACAATTGATAAAATGATTTTTTTTCGAAATGTTAAACTAAATATTTTGATAAATAAATACTTTGAGATGAATAGTTCATTTCTAAAATCAACTCCATAAATATAAATTAATAATTTTAAAGTATGGTGAAAATTTTGAAACAATGGTGAGTTGGTTTGAGGCTTGATGTATATGCCCTACATTTAGTGTATTGGTAGAGTTTAAGATACATTAAAATAATTAAATTGCAAAATAAAATTCAAATTATTAATAAAGTGTTTCAATACATTTATTTATTCAAATTTAAAATGTGCAGTTTCAAAATGAGTGGATATGAAAAACAGAACGCAATTTTTAAATTAAGTGAATATGAATTTAAATTCCCATTGCAATTCATATAACTTGAACAGGAATCACTATGTTAAATTTTTAAATCGCATAAATGCAAATCCGGATGTGCAATTTTTAAATCATGTGAATACGAAGTGTGTAGTTTTATATTTAAATCGATTAAATTCTAATATTGATATGTGATTTGTAAACATTGTGAATATTTAACATGATATTTGATTTTTAAATCGTGAGAATATGAATAAGATTCGTACTTTCGCAATTCAACTTCTTTCATACATCGTTTCGGATTAAAATTTGGAAAATTCTAGAGTTCAGCAAGTCTTGTTCTCTTAGTTTTGATTTCATTCGGCATTTTTGCAGCTTTGGAGGAAAATGTTGCCAGGAAGTATAAAATATGGGGTGCAATATGCTGTAACTGTATCATTGAAATCTAGATATTTTCTTTTATTTTGAATAATGTCTTTTTTTTTACAAAAACAATGCTTTTTATATTTTTCATGTCAAATGTCAGAAATATTATTTTGAACAAATATAGTGAAAAATGCTTAGCAAATGATGCATTCAGTGTATTGGGCAGAGTTTTGTTTGCCGGTCAAGCTAATTGAGTCACCTAGAAGATATTGATAATGTAAAATAGAGTGCATTGCTGGCAGTAGATTTTCTGCATAGTTAAAAATAATCTTGTTGTTGAATAATATTTTTATTAATACATCACAAAGTTCCGTTAAAATATCTTTGGACAGCTCGCAGATCTCACCAGTTTTTTCCACCAATTTTTCACTAGTATTTTAACTCACATACCTTTTGCTAGCTAGCTTGGTCACATAATGTTTAAATTTGTTAACAATGTTCTCTCATTTGTTAAAGTTATACTAATATTTTAAATAAATTATTCTAAGAGAATTTAACCTTTTATATTTTCTCCACCCTCATTTATTTTTCAGAAAGTAATAAACATACTAAGGATAAAACTTTCCAATAACAAAAAGAACAGTTTATAAGAGCATCAGTACAACCCAAGGTAAAAAAAAACAAAATGGTCACTAAAAAAACCTACTCGCGTGTCTACATTTCAAGTAGAATATTTCATTATTTTGTCAGTTTAATTGGAAATCCTGTATAGATGGGACATCATCAGCTATGACATTAGAAAGGATAACATGAGAGAAAAAAGAACTTCTGGGGGGAAAAATGTTTAAAAAAATGCTTTGATTTTTATAACAAGTTTCAAAATTTTGTGGAGAAACTTCACTCAATGCGGAAAAGTTGGTAACTCTGCTTGCAAATAATAATTCACATTACAATAAACACAACAATTTTCCCAAAACTTTTACTATCTCAAATATTTCATAAAAATGTTTTGGATTTTGTCTTTTTACTTTCTGGAAGACACATGGGACAATAAATTATTAAAATTATAAAAAATATTTTTAATTACAAAAATAAATTATAATTAACAAAAGGGCAATTCCACGGAAGTGTAAACTTTTAAGTGAATTTTTTTTTTATGAATTGCATATTTTAATTTTAAGAATATGTTCAAAAATAGTCAAAGTCTGCGTATTGCCGTTTCATTTTTGATAATTTTAATTTTTTTGAATCTGGCAGCATTCTAAAGTAATCACATGGCTGACAAGTGAATTGTTCACATTTGTGTTCAAATTGTTTTCTTGAAAAATACTTATAAAATAAAAGAAATGTATCTTTCTTTTGCAATATTTTGATAAAAATATGCATATAGTACAAAATTTAAACATTTAAAACATAGCCTTTAAGTCATTTTAAGTTTAATATATTAAATAAAAGTAACTTTTTTTTGTGTCATTCCGTCACATGTTTTAGTATATTTTTTTAAATAGCAACTGCGTTTTTGAATGAAAAT